ACTATCACAAGAACAGAATGAGGGAAACCACCCCCATCATCCAATTACCTCCCACCAGGTTCCTCCCTCAACATGGGGGGATTACAATTCGAGATTTTATTTGGGTGGGGACACAGAACCAAACCATATCAGATGTAGTAACTATATTTTTTCTAACACATATTACATTAATTTTCTACTAAAATAAAAACAGTTCACCTGTGTGTCATCTAAAATCATTTTTCATATAGTGCTTTTGGACAACTGGTGAAGTGATTAAACACTTCATTTCAGAGTCTGACTACCAAAATTTGAATTCCAGCCCTTCCATTTGCTACTGTCTATTACTCAATAAATTCATACCCTCTTTAAGCCTCATTTTCTTATCTTTACATAGGGATGATCATTGGTACCTATCTGATAAGATTATTAATAAGAAATAAAATAATCAATGAAGAATGACTAGTGTAGTTTCTGGCACAGAGGAACCACTCCAATAAATAAGACAGTTAAACGCTGGTTATTAGGGACTTCTGCCTGTAGTCACGGTGAGGTAACTGGTACTAGACTTGCCCTCCCGCTATAAGCAACAAGAAAACTGAATAAAATAAGAAACCACTATTTAAAGATGATGGAAAACAGAAAACACAGGACAATGATCCAAGGAGAAAGAGAACCAATGAGGGAAGCCCTAAAATTACCTCAGCTTTCAACCTGAAGACATTCTTTAGAATGTAACAGTGTATTTGTCAATTTCACTGTACACAATTGATCTCAATAAAACCGACTAAAAAAGAGAGACATAAAAATCCCAAAATATTTAGAGATAAATTTAACATAAATTTATATGAACGTGCAAAAGACCTAGAATATATTTTTGTTTATATTGTAAAAATATAAAAATGTATTTTAGAAAGAGCAAAGTTGGCAGACTATCCTAGCTATCAAGGAATGTAGTAAATTTATAGCAGTAGTGCTCAATAGGGCCAATTTCCCTCTCCTCAGGGAACGTTTGGCAAAGTTGGGAGACATTCTTTATTGTCACTACTCTGGAGGGAGGAGAGCAGTATGATATTGGTATCTAGTGGGCAGAGGCCAGAGATGCTGCTAAACAACCAACAGTGCATGGGACAATGCCCCGAAACAAAGAATTATCTGGCTCAAAGTATCAATAGTGCCAAGGCTGAGAAACTGTGATCCACAATAAGGCAGTGAGTAGAGATCAATGGAACAGAACAGATAATCCGGGTATGAATCCACATATATATACTGATTTTTGACAAATATGCCAATGTGTATCAATGAGAGAAAGAAAAGTCTTTTCAGCCATTGATGCACAATAGCTATCCAAATGGAAAATATAGATAACTCTCGCTCCCCAACTCAAATAGCATCAATGAACTCAAATGGAATCACAAGCCTAAATATAAAACCTGAGGCTATAGAACTTGAAAAATAAGGTGAGAAGAAATGTTCACAATCTTATGGTAGGCAAAGATTTCTTAGGATACAAAAAACACAAATGAAAAAATTAATAAATCAGATTCCATCACAATTAAAAATTTCTGTTTCCTAGAAAGACCATGTTAATAAAATAAAAAGTCAAGGCACAACCTGGGAGAAAATATTCACGATACCTATTTCTGACAAAGAACTTATATCCAGCATACACAAAAAGCTCTTACAACTCAACAGTAAGACAAGCTTATAAGAAGTGGGCAAAATGAAGATCATAGCGTGATAGGATAAGTTCACTGTGGCCCATTCTTCCCACTTACTATACCAAAAACTACACAAAATGCAAAAACTAGCTACCCGAGAACTCTAAAAAGTAAACAAGAACATTGTGGAGGAGAGGCAAAATTACTTGGACTTGAGACAGTGATTCATGCAGGGGAGAGTTTCCCAGGTTTGTTTTCTCTCTCTCTGTCTCTGTCTCTCTCTCTCTCTCTCTCTCTCTCTCTCTCTCTTTCTGTCTCTTTCTCTCTCTCTCTCTCTCTCTCTCTCTCTCTCTCTCTCTCTCTCTCTCTCTCTGTCTCTGTCTCTGTCTCTCTCTCTCTCTGTTTCTGTTTCTGTCTCTCTCTGTTTCTGTTTCTTTCTCTCTCAGCTTTGCCCAGAAGGCACACTCCAATTACACTACAGCAATGCAGTGGTGGCAAAAGGATGGCTACTCTAGACGAAATGCAGTATTTCTGGTCAAATGAACCAGGATAGAGACCACAGAAGGAAACAAAGCATGAGGATAACCAGGAAGGAAGGTAGCCAGAAAAGCAGTCCTCTAATTCTGTGAATAAATGCCTACAAGTCTCAGCCTAACTCCTGAATTATGCATGAGTGGGATAGACCTAAACCAGAATAGAAAAGCTTTCAGAAAGAACCAAACTAAGATTTAAACCATGTGCACACATCTTTTTATCCTAATTGCTAAATAATGAATGCAAAAAACAGACCCAAATGAATACAGCAAAGGCTTAGACAACTGAGATTTGCACCACTGTATACTAAAGGCAAGACAGAACTTGCAGCTCAAACCTAACTAAATTGATTTCCGGATAAAGCTAAAACATCAGCTCTCTGTGGAGGATTATGTATCTGACCCAAAGTCTACACAAAATGATGTTCAAAATGTCTAGGACAATCTAAAATTACCCAACATACAAATAACCAGAAAAATGTGAACAATTCTCAAGGAAAAGACAATTAATGTCAATCCCAAGGTGGGCCATGTGTTGAAATTATCATCAAAGACTTCAGAATGCTATTATGAGTATGTTCTGTGAGGTTAAGAAAAACACATTTGGCACGAATAAAAAGAAGTTCTCAATAGAGTAATAGCAACTGTAAAAAAATAACCAAATGAAAATGTTAGAACTGAAAAATACAAAATCTGAAAAAAAAATTTCACTGGATGAAAAATTGGAAAGAGTCTGTGAGCTTAAAGATAGATCCATGTGATTTGCACAAATCTGAAGAACACAGAGAAAAGGTTAAGACATAAATGAGCAGAGTCTCAGGGATCCATGGAAAAACGTAAAAACATTTAACATACATGACATTAGAGTCCCAGAAGGGGAGGAGAAATAGGCTGGAAAAAAAAATACTTGACAAAATAAAGACCTAAATCTTCCTAAATGTGGTGAAAAATGTAAATCAATATACTTAAGAGGCTCTGTAAACCCCAGAAAGGATAAGGTCAATGAAAAACCATGCCCAGACACATTATAAAGTGCTAAAAACCTTATCTATTACCACGTACAAAGGATAAAGAAAAACATCTTCAAAATAACTAGAGAAGAATGGCACACTACATACAGTAGAACAACAACAGGGGTATATCCATGCAGTGGAATAGTGCTCAACAAAACAGAAACAAACTATTGATTCATGCAACAGCATAGATTAATCTCAATAGCATTATGCTAAGAGAAATAATACAAACACATACACTTTAGATTCCATTTGTATAAAATTCTAGAAAATGTAAAATAATCTAGAGTGACAGAGAGCAGATCAATGGTTGTCTGTGTATGGGAATGGAGGGAAGATGGATTATAAAAGCGAATGAGAAAAATTTGGGGGTTGATATAAATATTTGTTATCCTGACCATAGTGATAGTTTCTGAGGTGTGTACATATGTGAAAATTGATCAAATTGTACACTTTAAATCTATGTAGCTTATTGTACTTTAATTATAACAATAAAGTTATTAAAATGAGAAAAGATGTAAACCCTTAAATGAAAATATACAAATGGCAGTATGCACATAAAAGAAATGCTCAACATCATTAGTCATCAAGAAAATGCAAATTAACACCAGAATGGTATCTATACACCCATGAGAATGGCAAAAGTTGAAAAGTGGTGGTAAGAATGTGAAGAAATTAGGACATTTCCCAACATTACTGTTGGGAACGTAAAATGAATGTATCATTTTATATTCCATAAAATGGAAACTGTTTGGCAGTTTCTTATTTAGTTAAACATACGCTTACGATGTAATCAAACTGCTCAAATCCTAGCTATTTACCTAAGAGGAATGAAAACTATACCCACTCAAAGACTTGTATGTAACTATTTCTAGCAGCACTATTCACAATGGAAACAACTAGACTGTATACACAGAAGGCTAGATAAGCAAATTGTGTTATACCAGGTAACAGTATTACTACTCCTCAATAAGAGGGAGCAAACTATACCACAAAAAAGATGAATCTTAAAACATAGTGCTGAATATTAGAAGCTCACTAGGCACAAAAGAACATGTACTGTGTGATTCCATATATTCTAGAATAGGCAAAATGAATCTATAGTATCAAAAAGCACATCAGTGGTTGCTTGGAGTTGGGAAGCAAGAGAGTGGATTACCTGAATAGAGGCATTTCTATATATTAATGCCAAGGTTGTTATTTGATGTATAAATTCATGAACAGTATACTTTGTGGTGTATGTAAATTAGACCTCAATGAAGTTGAGTTTTTAAAAGGTGATAACATAACATGAATTAAATTTATATAAAACTAAAGAGATCAAAATAATATGATGTTGGTACAAAGAGAGACAAAGCGATGGATACAAAAATAAATTATAAAAATGAACTTAAGTTTGCAATAGTTAAGAATTTGGAATGTGTCTATTTTGGTATTTCAAATCAGGTTAGGGAAAAATAATTTATTCTTAAATGATGTTGAGTCAAGTGACTATTCAAAATATAAAACAAAATTAGAGGCTTATCTATTACCACTTACAAAAACTAAATCTGATATGGATTAAAGAGTTAAGTCTATACAAAAGAAAATGACCCAGCAGTAGATGGGCACCAGGGTCTGAGGGCACAGAGTAGAGAGATGCGGGAGCCTTGCCTGAGCCTGGAGAACCCGGCTGGGTCACTCCTGGCTTGGACTCCAGCCGTGGGGAGGTGTGAAGTCCTGGAGATGTCTCAGCCTTGTGACCATCAGTGGCATTCCAAGGCTCTCTTGCCTCAAGCCCTAAGGCTAGAAACTAACTGGAGCCCCTTTTTCAGGCTGGTTCACCTTCCTGTCCTGGCATTGAGGCTCAACTCTCCAGTCTGCAAAATGGCATGACAGTGGCGGACTTCCTGACTTGAAGATTTGTGGAGAGGACCACATGACACACCACATGGGAACTGCCCTGGGCAGTAGTTGATACTTAGGAGCACCAGGCCTGGGAGAGGAGCTGGGGACATTGGCTCTGTGGGAAAAAGCAGATGTCCTACATCATCAGCCCTCCCATGACTGCTCCACTTGTCTTGTGTCCCCCAGCAAGTAACTGGGGAAGAGCCACAGAGGAGAGGCAGCTGAAAGTGAGTGACAAGGGCAGAGACTGGTGTCTTGGCCCCACCCTGAGTGAACTGAGGCACCCCAGAGAGGAGCATGCAGCTCACTCCAGTTCCCTGGACTTGGTGGAACAGATCCTTGGGGCCCTTCCTGACCATCTACTGGAGGCGCTGAGTCACTCTCACAGTCTCTGGGCAGAAGTCCCAGGTGAGCTCACTGGCCCCCAGTGATGAAGAACTGATCAGAGTCCAGAAGATGTTTGCATTCTCTTTGTTTCCCCTGAGTATCCTGGGAAGATGTGGATTAAGCTGAATTAAGAGACAGGTGATGATCACAGGTGTTGGGTGCTTGGGTAGAGTCTCCATGGTAACAGAGCCATCTGGCTTTCTTGCCTGGCACCAGGCCTTATGACTTCATGATGGAATCTTTTCTCAGCAGGCAGAGGGGGATTTGCCAGAGTAAAGAGGAGGCTGGGAGGGAGAGGCCTGCCGAGGGAGGCTTTGTCTTTTCAGCCAGAGTTTTACGATTAGGCTTCATCATGTCACGATGAGGTGCTACTGCTGACCCCAAAACAGGACACTGGAAGTGGTGCTCACTGGAGACTGTGAGTGGCATTGTACACCTGCCATCTTGCTGAGGCCTCCCAGGGGAGCTCAGAGGACACCTGGCCTCCTTCAATCCAGGACTCACTGTTGAAGCGGAGCTGGGGCCCTGGCAGGAAAGAATGAGCTGTGGGAGGGCCGCTGGCCCACCACAGGGAGAGTGTGTGCTGTCCAGTGCCCACTGGATGGCAGGAAGTGTAGGGCCTTAGGTGAGCCCCCAACAGAATGAATCTTGGTCATGGCAATGAGCCTTCTCCCCAAGCTGCTCACAGGGTGGTGCTGGGAGAGCCCTCAAGTCTGTGTCATATCCCTTTATCCCCACAAATGAGCCATCCAGCAAACCTACATGTGTTAGTGTCCTAGGGCTGCCAGAAGAAATTAACACAAACTTGGTAGCTTAAAACAACACACATTTATTCTCTCACAGTTCTGAAGGCCAAAATTTCAAAATCAAGGTGTTGGCAGGGTTGTTTTCTTCTTGGGGTCTCAGCAGGGAATCTGTTCCTTCATGCCTCCCTCCTAGCTTCCTGTGATGATGCGATTCTTGATGTGCCTTGGTTTGTGGCAGCATCATTCCAATTGCTTCCTCCATCATCACGTGACACTCCCCCTGTGTGTCTGTGTCCAAATTTCCCTCATCTTATAGGGACAAGTCATTGGATTTAGGGCCCACCCTGACCCAGTGTGACCTCATATTAACTTGATTGCATCTGCCAAGATCCCATTTCCAAATAAGGTCACATCCACAAGTGCCAGGGCTTAAGACTTGAACATGTCTTATGGGGGCACACAACAACATATAATTCACAGTGAACTGAGCACAGGCTTCAGAGTGGGTCAAACCTGGGTGCTGCCATTTAGCCTGTCCCATCTCCTTGGCACAGTGAAGTTGGAAAGGCAAGTCTATCCCGGTGGGCTTCCTAAGGATTACCTGAGAGAGAGGACCACAGAGCTCTACGGAGTGTTCGGGAGTTGTAGAAACTCAGCAAAGATGGCCCTGAGCTGGGTCTCTGGGACTTGGAGGAGGTGGCCTGCCTCCTGCTCACCAGAATCTGGCAGTCTGTGGGCCAGTAGGCACTTACCAAGGGGTCCGGCTTAGGACAGGGACCTCAGTGGTCAGGCTGCCTGCAGGGAGTTGGGGGAGAGCATGGACCACAAAAGCATGTGTCAGGGGCAGGGACTCAAGGCCTAAGGGCTAGGGTGGGAGTCAGAAAGGCTGGGGGCTAAGCCACCTAGGTTCTTCCATGGGACTGGAGTCCACAAGTGGAACAGCCTGGGGGCTTTCTTAGGATCAGAGGGGCCCCCTGCCATGTTCCTGATGGGCTCCGGGTCTAGCACAGTCAACATGGGAATGAGCTGGCTTTTCACTACCCGGTACTCCAGGCCACGTGTCCCCTCTGGGCCTGGGAAGTAATTCCTCATTCTGCTTCTCCACCCTCTCCCCAAGACGTGACTTCTCCCTCCTATCACCATGGAGTCGGATAAAGACTTCGTTCCTGGCCAAGGTGTTCTCTTTTTGTCTACCTCTTTCCTTCCCTCCCACCCTTCTTTCCTTTCTTCCAATACTTGGTGTCTACCATATGCCAGGTTTTTCTAGGCCTTTGGGACACAGAAATGATCTAGACGGATGGACCTTGCCTCAGTGGAATTTGTAATTAACAGGATGAGAGACATTAATCAAGAAACCACACAGTCAAATATTTCACAGCAGAGGAACGGGTGCTCTGAATGAGGGATACGAGGGTGGCGGCAGTCATGAAGAAGGTGATGCCACTAAGCCAGGGACATAAGGGAAGTGACCTTAGTCAAGTGCTGAGGAAGTCACCACCTAGGAGAAAGGAGAGGGAAGAGACTCTGGGCAGGAACATTAGCCCATGCAGAGTCCCTGTGGCGGGAGGATGCTTGGCAAGTGAGATGGACCAAGAGAAGGCCTGTGTAGCTGGAGTGGACAGAGTGAAGGGAATATGAGTTGCACTGAGAGCCAGCAGACTAATTGAAAAAGTGTCAATTGAATGCCTATTATGAACGAGAGGCACCGGACAGATAAGACCACCCCACACAGGAAGCAGGCAGACCACACACCCCAGCAAGAGCATTCCAGTGATGAAATGATCTGGAGTCACCCTGCAGGGAGGTTGGGACTGGGAAGGCTCTTCTGAGCTGAGAGTCCAGGAGCAGATCTTGGCACAGATTCTAAGGGAAGGCCAAGTTTGGTGTGACTTAGGAATGGCAAGAAGGTCTGTATGCTTGAACAATCTAACCATGGTTGAGGCCCATTGCTGGCTTTTTACAGAGGAGAGCCACGGTCAGGTTTGGGCTTTGTAAGACCCCTCTAGCCTCCAATGTAGGCAGGGACTGGGGACAGAGCTGGTGTGGTTAGGAATTCAGGGTGCAGTAACAGATGGAATGTCCTTCTCTTCTCAGATGTCTCAGAAGAACTGTGAGGATGAATCTGGAGCCCCAACCTCTCCTAGACTCCTGGAGGAGGATGACCCAGGGTCCCAGTCCTCCCAACAGCAGGCCACCAGTTCAAGGCACAAGAAGCCCTTAAGCTCCCTCCACCTTTCACATAGGGCCCAGGTGGCCTTGGAGTACCTGCCTTTCTTCTGCACCTATGGGTACCTCCTGGCAGAGGAGGGGTTGGACCTGCAGCCTGAGACACCGCTCCAGGAGGACTCAGAACTGCTCAGTGGGTTCTTCCCTTACTACCGCTCTGAGGAGGAGAGTTTGCCCAGCATGGCCCTTCCTGGCTGGTCACACAGGGGCTCCCAAGATGCGCCCACTGAGAGGGAGGCACAGGCTGGCTGCTTCTGCAGGACAACAGTCAGGGACGAATGCTCTGTGAGTTGAGGAGGCCATAGAGGGTGGGGGGAGCAGCACTGGGCCCCCACATCCTTCAAACCTGGGGCCCAGACTCTAACAGGCCCATGGACAGGCCCCTCTCAGGGCTGCTGGGGTTCTTGGAGCAAGGTGTCACTGGTTGAGAGTACAGAGACTGCAGAAAGACTGTCCTGTTCAAGCCCAGCTTGACCACCTGCTAGGAGAGCGACCTTATAAGAGAGTGGTTTCCTTATAAAAGACAGAACAACTGGCCAGGCATGGTGGCTCACGCCTGTAATCCCAGCAATTTGGGAGGCCGAGGCGGGTAGATTACGAGGTCAGGAGATCGAGACCATCCTGGCTAACGCAGTGAAACCCTGTCTCTACTAAAGAATACAAAAAATTAGCCGGGCGTAGTGGCGAGCACCTAAAGTCCCAGCTACTTGGGAGGCTGAGGCAGGAAAATGGCGTGAACCCAGGAGGCAGAGGTTGCAGTGAGCCGAGATTGCGCCACTGCACTCTAGCCTGGGAGACAGAGTGAGACTCCGTCTCAAAACAACAACAACAACAACAACAACAACAAAAACAGAACAACAGCAGCAACAATAGAGCCATTGTGAGAATTATATACAACCACGTACCTAAAGTGCTAAGCATGATGGTGAGCTCACAGAAATATTAATTTGGTCCTTAGGACTTGCTAGGCTGTCGGACAAATGTTCACTAGTATCATCTCATTTAATCCCAATAGTAATCCTATAAGATAAGCTGTACTATTATTCTCATTTTATGAATGAGAAAACAAGTCTCAGAGAAGTTAAGTGACTTGACCAAGGGCACACAGCTAGCAAGTAGCAAACTGGGGATTTGACCCGAAGCCTGTGATCTATAACATTCCTAATCACCACCATGCAGCTGGGCACTGTGGCCCGTGACTGCAAAGACGGAGGAGGCAAGGCGGGTGGGTTTTAATCCCAGACACACCCTTCCCAGCAGGGTGCCCTTGGATGGGTGAGTGACATTGCTGAGTGCTTTCTGGGTTGCAGAGCAGACATGGACCTGCCCTCTTCTGGGACTGCCACTGTGGTGTTGCAGGCACAGGCTGGTCCTGGGTATCTGGGCCTGAACCTGGGAGGTGGGCTTGCATCAGGCTGACCCTCTTGTTCCTTCGTACCCAGGCTGCCTCGGCACACTCAGACCTCATCTCTGGGTCCTCACACTCACTGGCCTGCTGCCCCATCCTGCAGGTCTCGGCAGCGTTTGCCCATGACAGTGATCAGGATGCCCCTCTCTCCAGGAACCATGGTCTTTATGCCTCAGGATTCGTGCATTACTACAGAACCCCTGAAGAGGGGCTGCACACTAGCCCGGGGCCTCCTGCCTCTCCATCTGGGAGCTAGGGACCCTCAGGGGCTGCCCAGGGCTGGTGCGGTCATACCGCGGGGATGCCGGAGCTGGCTGCAGCGGAAGCCACTGGAGAGCAGGCCCCCAGCACCCACTGAACATCAAGGGATGAAGGTGATTGGGGGTAGGCTCCCAGAAGTCAGTCTGCCCTGGGACCAGAGCTGGCCTGGGACCTTGGCCCTCAGGCCTGTATTCTCTCTGTCTCAGTGCCCATGACCATGGATGAGGGGCATCCTACCCCCTTGCCCAGCAGAGCCGGCAGGAAGAATCCAACCCTTGGCAGATTCTCCCAGCCCCTCTCAGCCCACCAGGCTGCTCCCTGCCAGCATGAGCTGTCCCATTCTACAGGCCTGGGGTTTGCCTTTCTCCTCAAGGGGCAGAGGGGAGAAACTCAGCCTGTGCCCCACGTTCAGCCATCCCGCCCCAGGCTGCCACCTTCCTGTTCTCCTAGCTGGAAAAACTGCCATGTGAGAATTGAACAGCCACACCAAAAGTGGCTTTGCAGAGAAGTGTCCATCTGGTCCAGGACTCTGACCTCAGACCATTCCTTTTGTAGCCTGTCCCAAGCTCAGACAGAGGGAGCAGGAGCCACCTGAACAACTGAAGGGTGCAGACAGCCAGAGCTGGTTTTGTAAATAAATCGTGCACCTTGAAGCTGGTGAACTAATTGGATGCTTTGGGGTAATACTTTCAGCTTCAATTTATTAAGCATTTACTTTGTAGTAGGCACTTTACAGAGATCATCTTCATAACCATTGGGTGTAGACACTGGTGTCATCTCCATTCTACAGCTGAGTAAACAGGCTGAGATGTTAAGTAGGGTGCCCGAGCTCACACAGCTAGCAGACAGCCAGAAGAGTGGAGCTGGGATTTACACCAGCTCCGTCTGATCTTGGGTCAAGTACTTAAGCACCTCCTCGCTACATTCTTCCTCAGTGGGTCTATGTGTAGCAAGAAATGAGCCAGGTGCTCCCCTACACCCAGGCCTCTGCTAGACCCATCTCGCTGTCTCTTTCTCCTCACTGCCTCTGTACCTTTCCTTCCCCTGCCCCTGCCCTTGGGTAGAGCAGGTGAGGAAGGTGACTCTGCATGTGTCTGCCAGGGCCTACCTCCTTGGACTGTGTGGACCTGTTTTCTGGTGCTCCAGCCCAACCTCCAACCCCAGGCTCACCTGCAACATGGCTGAAGCACACTGGGATTTTGAGAGTATGTGCTCATCCCACCTACTCCGGGGCCAGACACTTAGATGCTGGTTCCTGCTTGAAACTCCTTTAGCACCAGCCACACTGGTGTGTCCCACGTTCACAGCCTCTCTGTCCCATGGCGCTGGTTTTGTGTCTCCTCCCTGGGTGTGGGTTCTTTGTTTGCTTTGACGCTCACACACCTCTGACCACTGGATCCCCACTCCTCCAACCAATGGCTGCTTGTCTGGAATGCCCTCACCTGCTCACCGTGCTTCCTGAGGATGAGGACCTTGAGAAGGAGAGAGAAATCAATTGGTCACACTAGAGTTACATCAAAGAAATTCTTTTTAGAAAATCTGTTTTTTACTATTTCCAAGGCACTCCTATGACTTCCCGTTGGGTTTAGGGATTTGGGGTTTGGAGTATGATGGGAGTATGAAGAAATAAAGTTGCCCTTGCCAGGAAGACTTGTTGGCTTTATTCTTGGGGTGAGGCAATTGGACTGTTCCCTTTATTTTCTAAGGGTTGGAAAACTTTTCCCGACTCCCCTTGCATTCTCCCACCTGGTGCTGCTCAGGAGGTTCCCTCTGCCTCTGCGCCCTTCTCCACTGCTCACAACTTAGCTTGTCTTTTTAGTTTAGGGCCTCATCGAGGAGCTGGCATCTGTGGGCCCTCACTGCCCCCAAAGGAACAGACAGGTTGGGAGGTATCTATGTGTATGGTACAAACTGGGACCACTCTCTCCTTGTGCAGCCCAAGCGGGGTCTGAGCCATGTTCCCTCCTCTCTTCCCGTGTGGCATGCCATCCAGACCCAAGTAGGGCTGAGAGCCCTGCAACAGCCTGTCAGCAACCCCTTGGCGAGCTGGAGGTACCTTCCCTGCACATCGGGCTTAAGAGACCCTCCAGAGGTTTTCCATGCTGCAGAGCTCTCTTAAGGGAGTAGTTTGCAGGAAAGATTTGGTGCAAAAGAGATCCCAGATAAGGGGCTGGCTCAGCTGGAAGGGCAGTTTGCTTCTGGCCCACCTGCTGGCCTTGGCTTGGAGCTGTCCACGTGCTAACACAGATGTGAACACTCAGGACACACAGGCCATAACGATGGTGAGGTTTGACTTGCTGAGTGTGTCACTGCGTGCCAGTCATGGTGCTGAGCACTTGACATGCATTGACTCACTGAGTGTGAGTTAAGTGCAGCCTGAGTCAGGTACAGTTATCGCTCCCATCTTACAGAGGAGGATGTCTGGGCACAGTGGATTAAATGGCCCAGTGAGCGCCTGCTGTGGGAGGCTGAACTGCCTGCTCTCAGGTGCTGAGGGGGATCACAGCCCTTCTGAGGAGCTGGACAGGCACAGGCTTCAACTTCCCAAGGGCAAGCCCACCAGGTCCCTGCAGAGAAAAATGCTGGTTGCAAGGAGCCTGAGCCAGCCTTAGCATGGGCGATGGAGGTTTGTCCAGGTGAGATACAGCTGGCCCCAGAGATGGGGCTTTCATCCACTCGCCGAGTAGCAGCAGGACTAAGGACTGCCTCTAGCCTGTAGATGCCACTGCCCACAGAATCATGGCCCAGCCCCTTTCCTTGACATTCAGGGTCCTCAGGAGCCAGACTCCAAGCCTTCCAACTGCCCCTCCCACAGCCATGGGGGCTTTGGGTGAGCAAAAGTCTTCCTGACTCCCCTTGCATTCTCCCACCTAGCGCTGCTCAGGCAGTTCCCTCTGCCTCTGCGCCCTTCTCCACTGCTCACAACTTAGCTTGTCTTTTTAGTTCCAGCTCAAATGCTGCTCCTTCCCAAGACTTCTGGGTCTGCCCTCCACATTTCCTGTGGTCCTGCCTGGCCTGTATTTGAGGGCAGACCTGATGTGAGGTTTATGGGTCTCCCCCAGCCCAGCAGCTGATGTCTGATGAGTGCATGACAGAGGAGACCACCATGTGGCAGAAGATGGAGTAGGCTGTCCCCAAACACTGACTCTCTGTCACAATCAGCAGCCAAACTCCTCCGAGTTCCAGGAAGTTTAGCACATAGCAGGTGCTTAGCCAGGCTTTCAGATGGGACCTTGACAGCAGCAGTCAGCAGTGGCTCCTCCTACATTCCCACAGAAACCCCTTGATTCCAAACCTCTCCAACCTGGGCTATCTGGTCCCCTGACCTGCCTGGCCTTCAGTCAGGCAGACAGCAGCATTTCCTATTCTCAGACGTCCACAGAGCCAGCCTCAACCCACAGGTTGACTCTGATGGAAAGGAGCACATATGGTTTTCAAGCTAGTATCAGATATCAACATGGCCCAGAATTTCAGACTTCTGTGGACCCACAGGACCCTGTCAGGGAAGAAAGGATGGAGGGCAGCCCAGGGCACTGGGATGGTAGTGGGGGAAGGGATGTTTTCCCCCTGATTCAACTGTTGCAGGAGTCCTATGAATACGACACAGTTGGACAGTGTTAGTACTATCACACTGATAGTGGAGAACCTGAGGCAGAGAAGTTAGGGCATTTATGCAGAGGGGTGGGGGTGGGGGCAAGGGTCCTTGGGAAAGTCACTTCTACTTCCCGAGTCTTGGCCAGGAGGCAGCACTTTTTTTAATAGCATGGACCCTGGAGTCAAACAGCAGGTGTGACTTCATCGTCCTCCACTGACTGCTGTGTGGCTTTAGAGAAACTGCTTGACCTCCCTGGGCCTCATTCTTCTCACCTACCCAAGGAGGACTTGCCTCAGAGAATTTAATAAGATGGTGTAAACAGAGCATGCAGCACTGGGCCAGCTCGGAGCCCCAAAGTGGAAGAAAGCCTGGGACATTCAAGGCTTCGATAGATCTACACAGATAAAGAGACTGGGGTGTCGCCTCCCATTCAAGCACACAGCACCCAAACACCTCAGATGGGTTCTCATCAAGCCTCTCAGAGGTTTGCTCTGGCACCTCAGACTCCCCTCTGAGCCTCCTGGGCCAGCATCTCCTCCACGGCCCACACAAATACTGAGTGTGGCTCTCTGCCAGCCAGTGCCAGGGAAACCGGGCCAGGAAGCTATCCAGAACGGGCAGCCACGCTTGTCTTCTCCACCCGAGAGCCTCAAGTGCTGTGCATCAGCGCCCTCTCCTGGCACACCTTGATGAGACCTCGGCAGCTGATATCCCTGTGGCCAAGAATTTCAGACTTCTGCGGACACCACCTAGGAGGGGATCGTCCTTACCTTCCAAAAGATAGAGGAAGAATTAAGGCCTGGACTTTCCCAAGATGCCCAGAGAGGCAGCAGCAGCACTGGGACCAGAGCCCAGGCAGCCCAGCCTTCCCGCCAGCTGCTTCACCCCTTCACTTCACAGCCACTGGCCTCTGTTTCTTGACTGCCAGCCTCAAGTTGAATAGGTGATGGCCATATTTAGTCTGCACATGCTCTGCACATACCTTCTCAAAGTGCCATCAACAAAGGAAGAAATCCTGCTTCCAATGAGAAGCTCGAAAATTGTGTGCTCCTTTTCCTTCCCATCAGAGTCAGGGAGGGGGCTCAGAGCTCCCGTTGTCTGAGGCCAGTGCAGGAATGATGCAGCGGGGGCAAACGCTCAAAGAAGAAAGACAGCACAAACCTGCGGTCCCATTTCATTAATCCTTTGAACTCAGTCCTGTGTAATTGTCTGCCTGCTCTGTGGCAGATCCCGAGAATGTCATGGTGGCAGATAGGTCAGACAGGTCTTATCTATCTTCCTGCAGCAACCAGGCATTGCACAAGGACTGAGTGGCATGGTGAGAGTTGGAAAAAGAAGCAGAGGTGCCTTGAGAGAGGGCAACGAGGTCTTGACCTCCCGTGAGGGGGCTGGGGAGGCCTCCTCATGCAGAAGACGCTTCGGCATAGATCTGAAGGAGGTAGGAGTTGGCTATGAGAAGGGCAGGGAGAGGGAGCTGCAGGCAGAGGGAGTGGTCAGTGCAAAAGCTCTGTGGGGAAATGTGGCTGGTACCTTTGAGGGCCTGAAAGAAGCCGGGCTTCTGTGACGCTCCAGGAAAGGCCAGAGGGAATCCTCATACCCGGGAGTGATGTGGCCATCTCTTCAGCTCTGTCTTGTACCCAGATACCCTCCTTGTCTGCCAGCCACCGGCAGGACCTTCAGACTTTTCCCCATATCTCCCCATTTAAGGCCCAGCTGACTGAGCAGTGACTACCCACCAGGACTGTGCCAGGCTCTGCAGGTCCAGTGCAGAATGAGGCAGTACCCTATTCTCAGTGGACTCACAGTCTAGATGGGAAGACAGATTATCAACCGTTGAGTCTGACGGCAGTGATACAGATAGGTTCAGAATATTCAGAAACACAGATGAGACCTAGCAGATCCCGTGTGGCATAGGGTGATGAGGAGGCCTTCCTTGAAGGCCTTTCAGGAGAAGGCGACAGCTGAGCTGAGTCTTAAGAAGCGGGCAGGGGTCAGCCAGGGGAGAAGGAGGGAGAAAGTGTTCCCCGCAAGGGAATAGCACATGCACAGTCACACACATGCACAGAATGTGGGACATTGAGGTGAGAAGTGGAAAGGTAGCCAGGCCCAGTCCCACAGAGCTACACACAACACACTGGGAAACTGGAATTTATGCTCAAGATCACAGAAAGTCATCAAAGGTCACTAAACTGAGCAGATTCAAGATTTCAGAAGCTCACTGGGGCAGCAGCTGGAGGGTGGATACAAGACTGGGGCAGAGGAACCCAGGAAACCGTGTCCACTGTGATCCCGGCAGGGCAGTGGCACAGGCCTGGGCCGAGCTACATTCGGAGACACCAATGAGGTCTGGGTGTCATTGAGGGGATAGACACTCAGGACTTGGTGGCTGGTGGGATAAGACCTTGGGAGAGAGGAATGGAGGATGGCATCCAAGGTTCTGTTTTGGGTGGCCACTGAGTGGAAGTGTGTTTCTCTAAGTTGAAGAGGCACTGGAGGAGGAAGAGAGAGTTCATTGAGGGATGCGCTAAGGTGACCTGAGCCACCCAGGTGGAGGTGTTGAGTGGAAGGATGTCTGGAGTCAGAAGTGAGGTGTGGAGGTTATACGCTAAGAGATGGGAGGTGCGGGTGGGTGAAGGTCCAGATGGGGCCCTGAGGAATCTACACCTAAGCATAAGAAGGGGCCAAGGCAGCAGGGAAGAAGATGAGAACAGCTGGAGAAGCGGGAGGAAAGCTGGGTGAGGGCAGGAATCCGGAAGCAGAGGGGAGCAGGCGGCATGGGCAGGGCCTTCACTGCAGCAGGTCAGGCATGCACAGCTGGCCCAGGCCTTTGCTGCCCAAGTGTGGCAGGTGGACACGGGGAGGGGATTGTTGGCTTGCCTGAGAGAGTGGCTGGGGAGGTGGGAGCTGTGGAGCTCTGTAGACCAAAGGTGCAGCCAGGAGACTCCAGGTTTGGAGAGCCTTGCCTGATTGCTTCCTGGAGAACAATGGACTCTCTCTCCAGTGCTCTTACAGCCACCTCTGTGTGGCATCTCAGACGGACTGTCTCCTCTCAAACAGAGACTTTCCCAAAAGCAAGGCACCAGCACAGACTGGTGTTCAGGAAATTTCTGTGGCCTGAAAGGGTCAATAAGAAATGAGGAGTGGGCCACTAGTTAACAAATGCTATCAGCATAGCCCATTTGCACGTCCCACTACAGAGGAAAGTGCTCTGAGAGGTCATCATTGGGGAAGGAACTGAGGGAGAAAGGAAATGGGGTTGCTTTCTGGCCCTAGTGACACAGGGAGTGGATTTCTCTGTGAAGTTTCTTTCTCTGTGTAATGGCCAGTATCTGCCCTGCCCTCTCCCGAGTGTAGAATGCAAATGTGAACGGCAGCACACTGCAAGTGGTGCTCTGAAGTGCAAAGGCCAGGAAGAAGGGAGGGCCTAGATCCCGGCCACAGAGCCAGCACTTGGCCTGGGCTCATAGCCCTGTAGTCTGGGATTCTCCAGGCCTGGCCACGGTTGCTGGTAAACCTAGAGTCCTCCCTGCACTTCCCTGGGTGATGCGCCCCATGGGCAGGTTTGTGGCACATATTTGGGAATGGAGGGCAGTAATTCATTTTGGAAAGTGACCCACTCCTTCTGCTCTGCTCCAACTCATTAGCAGTTCAAGCAGCAGCTTTCTGAGCCTGGGAGGCCATCCTAGGGCTGCCAGGGACACTGCCTGCCAACTTAAGACCTCCTCAATTGGTGCTGACACAGGACTGAGGGGACAATCTGCCTGGCACCCCTTAGGTGGTCTTCCAAAGGAGTAGGTTTTGAGAACTGGCAGGCTTTCCACTTGTGGATGCATTCCAATGGTGAACTCACTAAAGGGCCACTCTTCAGAGACCTACATTTCTCATAGCGGCCCTAGGCATATATCCCGGGCATGGCAGGGCACAGCTTGGGGTTGATGCTGACGGTAACTCTGAAGCCTCAAGACTGAGTGGGTCACCATGTGCAGCAGGAAGCTTAGGTGCGGGGATGGGGTATGATGGTTCCACTCCTCCCTGGAACTTTGCAATACTTCCCCAGCCAGGTCGGCGACTCCATCCCAGGCTGTCCTCTCCAGACACAGGTCCACTCTCTGTGTGCCCGGGCAGGGGAGGGAGCAATGCTGCAGGAAGCACCCTTCACCTCCAAGTCCCCACTTCTCAGTGGACAGGCCTTTGTAGGATCAAGCTTCGGTGGTCAGGCTGTCTTGCTTTGGAAGAAGGAGATCTAGCTGACTGTCACTGCATATTAACCTGGATGACGTGACATGGATATGCCCAGGGGGACAACAGCAGGCCCAGCAGAGGCCCCTTCCTCCTGACCATACCCTCCACCATTCTTGTCAACGTTGGGATGTCTTGGCTGAGACCCACAGCTGAGTCCCTGCTGGAAACTAGCGGAATGCTGGGTGGCTTCGAGTCTTCTTAGGAGGGGAGGAAAGAAACTCTCGTTGAAACAAAAGCCTCTCCACACAACAGGCTACTTCTCCAGTGAGCATGGGCCTCTGGCCTGGGGCCTGGCTGAATGTAGGGTCTGACTACAGAGAGGGAGTTTGAGGTAGAGATCACCACCTTCTGTTGGCCCAGGGTGGACAGTGTAGGCTGAGCCAGGGCCAGGCAGGGAGCCGGGCCCCTAGAGAGCTGTAGCTGAAAGTCAGACATGACCCTGAACCACCAGGTGCTTGCTCTAGGCACGGGGCACTGAGTGGGACATGTCTGGGATGAACAAAAAGGCATCACTGCTCAGCGTTGGGGTGGGAGAGAGTCCACCGCTGATTGGAATCAGCATTGTCAGCACAGCACAGGGAGATAGGAGCAACGCCACCAAATGCCATCTCTGGATGGGCGGCTGGCACTTTCACTTCAAAGGCGCCGAGGCTCTTAAGTTGGCAAGGAAGGGACCCGGAGAAGGGAGGACTAAGAATTTCACTTGATGACCCTTGCCTTTCTGGGTCTGGGATGAGCCGCGCGCAGCGCACCCTTAACTACCCAGAGTGCTGTGCCTTTAAGGTCCACTGGGGGCGTGATGTCAGCCGCCCTCCGGCACTTGGAGAGGTGAGCGCGGCAGCCCGCGCAGCGGGTGACTCGGGGGCTGGGTTTGGAGAAGGACCTGCGGCGTGCGGGAGACTCCGACTTTGGTCTTGCGGCGCGCTAGCGCCCGCGGGGCCATGCCCCACTGACCCTAAGTGAGCACTGCCCCGGCTTCGGGAGGGCGAGACCGGAGCACCGGCCATGGGAAGCCTCCAGCTGGAAGACTTTGCGGCGGGCTGGATCGGAGGTGAGTGTGCTTACCCGGGATCCCCGGTCAGCGAGAGCGAGCCTGGTGGAGTTTGCCGCAGTGCTCTGAGGAAACTTTGCGCCTCGGTGCGCTCCCATCCCGCTCCCCGTTGCGCGCGCAGCCTGCTTTGGGGAGTCCCCGGCCCCGAGATCCCCCTGGTGGTCTTACAGTTGCCAGGGCTAAATTCTAGAGCTCAAAGCGATTCGGACTGAGCTTCTGCTTTGCTCATTAAGTTAGGAACCGTGGGACTTGATGCAGTAATGATTAAACAGCTGGTCAAAGCCCACAGCCAATGGAGGCTCCTAGCGGCGCACACACCCTTCAGTGACCTGGTGCACACCTGAATTGCGGACGTGACTCGCGGGAACTTATGTATGAGGGTGGCGTTTGGCTGCTGACCGCGGGGCGCAGGGTCGTGGGGAGCCAGGCTTCGAGATCAGGCGGGCCCTAGAGGGCGTCCCGACTGGAAGGAGCAGAGCTCTCACAGCAGGGGGCGGAGCGCCGGCTGCAGGTGCTCATTGTCAGGCTGCAAGGAGCACTTAACTGCCTTCAGCCGCCGCCAGCCGTCAGCCATCGCCTACCTCCAAGGCACCTTCTCCGGGTACTCTTGGGTCTGCTGGTCCCTTCGCCACAGCTTCCGGAGCCACATTTTTACTGGGCCTGGGATGGGTTGCCTGGGCGAGAGTTGCATTCATTTCCTTGCTTCTCCATTTTTCTTTCCAATAGGTCTATCTCTCTTTTCTCAGCTGTTAGGAAAGGGGGAAGTTTGAGGGACTTGGCTAATTGTAATAAAATCAAATAAAAAGTCTTTCTTTTGACCCATCTAAAAGGGTTATCCTAAAAGGGATGTTGGCAAATGTAGCCCCTCACCAAAGGGGGGAAAAAAAGATAACAAGATGAAAAGAAAAACAAACCAGATTGGATCCTAACTCCTCCTCTCCCACCTAGCAGGAGACCACCTCTCTACCCCCACCGGTGGCTGCAGAGCCCTGCTTCACACCTTCCTGAGCAGAAGTGGCTCCTTTCACATTGAGTAAGTCTGTTGGCACAGATGCCCTTGAGTGGGGCTGAGACCCGCCTCTCCTAACTGTCCCAGCCAGGGGGCTGCGGTCCCCTGGGCATATCCAGGCCCTTTTTGACTGGACATTATTCCACCATTCAGCGGGGCAGGCAGAGAGAGGAGACACTTCTGTGGGCTGCCCCTTAAATAAGCAGACCACCTTCAGTAGGGATGCAAATGGCTTGGTTTGAGAAATGCCCTGGAAGGTAGGGCTGAGTCAGAGTAGTTCCAAGACTCTGATACCCCTCCCCACTCCCAAACGTGATAACACGCGAACCCTCCCCAACTCACAGCAAGTAGGGGATTTTTGTGCTTTATTCTGGTATTGTCCTTACTTTGATGATGTTATTGAAAGTAATGGCAAAAATCGCAGTTACTTTTGCACCAAACTAATAACATGCCTTTTTTTTTTGGCTTCCATAAAATGATGATAAGTGTTTACTACACTTGAATACTTACTAGCTAGGTGCCAGGTATTGTTTAAGTGCTACATGTTTTCTTTTAAAATAATTTTATCAAGGTTTATTGTACAATAATAAAATTCACCCATTTCAAATATACAATTCAATGCCTTTTAGTAATTTTACAGTGGTGCAGCCATCACCATAAATTTGTTTTAGAACGTTTTCATCCCCCAGTAAGATCCCTCATTTGAGGTTGAATGCTATTCCCTCTCCTTAATCTCCTTGCTATAAATTTGCCTTTCCTGGATATGTCAATTGAATCTTGCAATATGTGAGCTCTTGTGTCAGTTTATGTATAGTTCTTTAATTATTATAACAACCCCAAAGAGGCAGGTACCGTTGCATCCTTATTTTACAGATGAGGAAATTGAGATACAGAGAAATTCACTAACTTACCTAAGACCATGCATCTAGCATTGGCACTAAGATTCCAACCCAGGCTGCCTGGCACCAGAATCTGCCATCTTAATTTCATATTAACTCTTTCCAAACAAACTTACATAACAAAATGTTGCCCTTTTTTTTTTTTTTTATATTACCCCCACACACATACACATTTTGTGTGAGATTTTACTGGTTTGTGAAGTGCCAAGGTCTGGAAACTACTGACCTGATAATCCCATTTTTAAAATCTCAAATCCCCTGCTTTCAAATGGGTGGCAGGGAGATGTTGGCTCAAGGCTGGATCTAAGCCTGCTCTGAGCTGAAGGATGTGTGCACTCACTATGGAGGAAGCCATGGAGCCTGAGGACCAGCGCTCCTCCCCCCACTACTGGGAAGGGTCAATTACTGCTGTCACCTCTCTGCCTCTGCCCAGTTTAGTAGGTAGGAGGGCATGAGAGGGGACAGGTAGTTTTGGACCCAGGGACTCATTGTTCTGGGATTAGCTGGTTTCTTTGTCCCTAAAGGTATCCAATAGTCCAGGAGCCCTTAGCTACCTTACCTGGTTAAATCACCTCTACTAATGCAGATATTTCCTTCTTCATCAGTGTGCTTGGGAATTTGTCTTTGAAGAACAGTTTCCCTTTCAATTTCAGTCACCAACTGCTACAACAAGGCTGATATGGTTTAGCTGTTTCCCCACCCAAATCTCATCTTGAATTGTAGCTCCCATAATTCCATGTGTCACGGGAGGGACCCCTGTGGGAGGTAATTGAATCATGGGTACAGGCTTTCCCATGCTGTTCTCATGGTAGTAGATAAGTCTCATGAGATCCAATGGCTTTATAAAGGGGAGTTCCCTACACAAGCTCTCTTTTTGTCTGGCACCATGTAAGATGTGACTTTGCTCCTCTTTAACCTTCTACCATTATTGTGTGGCCTCCCCAGCCATGTAGAACTGTGAGTCAATTAAACCTCTTTCCTTTATAATTTACCCAGTCTCAGTAATGTCTTTATTAGCAGAATGAGAATGGACTAATACAGTAAGTTGGTACCAGTAGAGTGGGGCGTTACTGTGAAGATATCGGAAAATGTGGAAGCAACTTTGGAACTGGGTAACAGGCAGATGGTGGAACAGTTTGAAGGGCTCAGAAGAAGACAGAAAAATGTGGAAAAGTTTGGAACTTCCTGGAGACTTGTTGAATGGTTTTAACCAAAATGCTGATAGTGATATGGATAATGAAGTCCTGGTTAAGATGGTCTCAGATGGAGATGAGGAACTTGTTGGGAACTAGAATAAAGGTGACTCTTGCTATGTTTTCGCAAAGAGACTGGTGGCATTTTGCCCCTGCCTTAGAGATCTGTAGAACTTTGAACTTGAGAGAGATGATTTAGGGTATCTGGTGGAAGAAATTACTAAGCAGCAAGGCATTCAAGAGGTGATTTCTAAAAGCATTCAATTTTATGTATTCACAAAGATACGGTTTGGAATTGGAACTTATGTTTAAAAGGGAAGCAGATCATAAAAGCTTGGAAAATTTGCAGCCTAATTATGCAATAGAAAATAAGAACTCATTTTCTGGGGAGAAATTCAAGCCTGCTGCAGAAATTTGCATAAATAACAAGGAAATAAATGTTAATCACCAAGACAGTGGGGTAAATATCTCCAGGGCATGTCAGAGACCTTGGCGACAGGCCCTCCCATCACAGACCCAGAGGCCTAGGGGGAAAAAATTGTTTCCTGGGCTGGGCCCAGGGCCCCCCTGCTCTGTGCAACCTAGGGACTTGGTGCTCTGTGTCCCAGCCATTCCAGCCATGGCTAAAAGGGGCCAATGTACAGCTTGGGCTGTGGCTTTAGAGGATGCAAGCCCCAAGCCTTGGCAGCTTACACATGGTGTTGAGCCTGCGTGTGGAGAGAAGTCAAGAATTGAGCTTTGGGAACCTCCACTAGATTTCAGAGGATGTGTGAAAATGCCTTGATGTCCAGGCAGAAGTTTGCTGCGGTTTGCTGCAGGGGTGGGGCCCTTATGGAGAACCTCTGCTAGGGCAGAGTGTATGGGAAATGTGGGGTGGGAGCCCCACACAGAGTCCCCACTGGGGCAATGCCTAGTAGAGCTGTGAGAAGACAGCCACAATCCTCCAGACCCCAGAATGGTAGATCCACTGACAGCTTGCACCATGCACCTGGAAAAGCCACAGGCACTCATTGCCAGCCTCATGGGCATTATAATTTTTTATAAAATTATTTTTTAAAAAAGAAACCCCATTTTCTTTCTCCCTCAGTTCCTTCACTGGTGGTACCTCTCAGAGCACTTTCCTCTGCAGCAGGGCATGCAGATCAGCTATGTTGATAGCATTTGCTAACTCATGGGTGACGCTCATGCCAGCAGCTGGGAGGAAGGCTGTACCCTGCAAAACCACAGGATGGAGCTGCCCAAGACCATGGGAACTCACCTCTTGCATTAGCATGACCTGGATATGAAACATGGAGACAAAGGAGATCATTTCAGAGCTTTAAGATTTGGTTGCCCCACTGGATTTTGGACTTGCATGGAGCCTGTAGCCTCTTTGTTTTGGCCAATTTTTCCCATTTGGAACAAGTGTGTTTACCCAATGCCTGTGCCCCCATTGTTTCTAGAAAGTAACTTTCTAGAAACTTGCTTTTGATTTTACAGGCTCAGAGTAACTTGCTTTTGATTTTACAGGCTCAAAGTAACTTGCTTTTGATTTTACAGGCTAATAAGTGGAAGGGACTTGCCTTGTCTCAGATGAGACTTTGGACTGTAGACTTTTGAGTTAATGCTGAAATGAGTTAAGACTTTGGGGGGCCATTGAGAAAGCATGATTGGTTTTGAAATGTGAGGACATGAGATTTGGGAGGGGCCAGTAGTGGAATAATGTAGTTTGGCTGTGTCCTCACCCAAATCTCATCTTGAATTGTAGCTCCCGTAATGTGTCATGGAAGAGACCCATGTATCATGGGAAAGACTGAGTGGGAGGTAATTGAATCATGGGGGCGAGTTTTCCTGTGCTGTTCTTATGGTAGTGAATGAGTCTGATGAGACCTGGTGGCTTTATAAAGGGGTGTTCCCCAAGCTCTCTTTTTGCCTGCTGCCATGTAAGACATGACCTGCTCCTCCTTCACCTTCCACCATGATTGTGTGGCCTCCCCAGCCATGTGGAGCTGTAAGTTGATTAAACCTCTTTCCTTTATAAATTACCCAGGCTTATGTATGTATCTGATAGCAGCATGAGAACAAACGAATACAAAGGGCTTCTTAATCTAAGTGGCCTTGGGGCAGCCTTTGTTCTCTTCAAATTGTACAAGTCTTGTGAGTGTGTGTGTGTGTGTAGGTATTTTTTCTGTGAAAAGATACAGTGTATTCATCACTTTTCCAAATGGGTCTTCTTTTTAAAAAATTCTATGGTGACATTACTCACATTTGAGCATCCTGTAGGTGTCAGGCTCTCTGCTAGGTATTTTATATGTATTACTGAATTTCATTCTTACCATGGAAGCAAGAGATAGGTGCTGTTATTAATCCCACTCTATGCATGCTAAAAGTGAGACATAGAGAAGTTAAGTAACCTGCAGGTAACTGAAAGTTTTCAGGTCTTTTCTTTACACATATGCTGCCCCACTTTTTGAGTGGAAATTCATATAATAGAAAATTAACCATTTGAAAGTGTATAATTCAGTGGCATTTATTACATTCACAACACTGTGCAGCCATCACTTCTATCTAGTTCCAAAACATTTTTCTCGTGACCAAAGAAGATGCTGTACCCTTCAAGAATCACTCCCATTTCCACCTCTTCCCAGTCCTGGCAACCACTAATTTACTTTCTGTCTTTATGGATTTACCTATTCTGGATAATTCATATAGGTAGAGTCATACAATACCTTGCCTTTTATGTCTGGCCTTTTACATTTAGCATAATGTTTTGGAGGTGCATCTATGCTGTAGCATGCATCAATAGTTTGTTTCTTTTTATTGCCAAACAGTATTCCTCTGTATAAATATCCCACATTTTCTTTATTCATACACCAGTTGATAGGCGATTGGATTATTTCCACCTTTTGGCTATTGTGAACAATGTTGCCATGATGTGTGTGTACTTGTACTTGTCTGAGTATCTGTTTTCTGTTATTGGGTATATATGTAGGAATTGAATTGTTGGGTTAGGTTGTAGCTCTATGTTTAGCTTTTTTGAGGAATTACCAAACTGTTTCCACCATGGCTGCACCATTTTACATTTCTACAAGCAATGTACAAGAGTTCCAGTTTCTCTACATCCTTGCCAACAGTTCTTTTCCACTTTTTTTCAATTATAGCTATCCTAGTGCATGTGAAGAGGATTCTCATTGTGGTTTTAATTTGCATTTCCCAAATGACTACAGATGTTGAGTCTCTGTTCATGTGTCTGTTGGTCATCTGTATATCATCTTTGGAGAAATGTGTGTGCAAGTCCTTTGCCCATTAAAATTATTCAGTTGTAAGAGTTATTTCTATATATAGACACTAAATTCTTATCAAATATGTGATTTCCACACATTTTCTCCCATTCTGTAGGATGTCTTCACTTTTGTGTGCAAAAGTTTTCAATTTTTATGAATGTTATTATTTCTTGTGTTGTGTAGGGGAGTTAGAGATAACCTCTGACCCTCCGTTTAGCTCCTACTGGTCTCTTCACCTGAATATAAAAACAAAATTGACACCAGGCTGGTTAACAAGAGAAAAATAATACAGATTTTATTAGTTTCTCATGACATAGGGATCTTCCCAAGAGAGTGAAGTCGGGAGAAGTGGCCAACACAAGATCTTTTCATACTTTTTAAACAAAGAGTGATCAATGTGAGAAGAAATGACAGGACAAAGAAAATCTGGCTAGGGTGGTGGAATTTTGCTAGAGGAGTCACTAGAAATACGGGTAGGGGGATATAAAACAGGTGGAATATAAGGATCGCTTCATTAAGTATGAATTCAGGGCCACTGCAGCCTTCAATTCCGAATCCCGGCTAATAAAGGCTATTTTCTTACCCTGGTATGGAGAGGGTACCCCTCCCAGAGGAATCTTTATTGCTTGCTGCATGCAGGAAGAGGCAGGTCGGTTCACCCTTTCAGAAATTATGATTTCTCAATGTTTTCAACTTGAAATAATCAATGTACCCATCTGCTATATTTTGATATGGCATGTCCTTCACTCCTTCAGTTGGTCGTACACTTAGTATCATATCTAAGAGTCCATTGCAAATCACAGGTCAAGATTTTTTTCTGTGTTTTAATTTAAGAATCTTATCGCTTTGCTCTCCCATTTAGATCTTTGATCTATTTTGAGTTAATTTTGTGTATGGTATGAGGTAGGGTGTCTATCTCCACTCTTTCACTCTTTTGCCTGTGAACATCTACTTGTTCCAGTCCCTTTGCCTCCCTTTTATGGAGTGATTACTTGTTTTACTCTATTTTCTCTGCCTTCCTTGGTGCATGGACCAGTGCCTAAAACATTGGAGCCCACCCACTCCCCCTACCCCAGCAACTGACCGTTGACTAAATGAGTGCCTATTTTGTCCCAAGAGCTGGCTGGTGCAAGCCAGGAGTCCAAGGACTGAGTTACCAGGCATTCTTTTTTGATCCACAGGTGCAGCCAGTGTCATCGTCGGCCACCCTCTGGACACGGTCAAGGTACAGTAGCTATGTTTCCCATTACCTCTTAAAAAGAGGCATGGAGCTGACCTGCCTCTGGGACTATGCCTGCTGTTTCTGATCTCCCAGAGAGTCTTCTACCCAGGGCAGACTCTGTTGCCAGCCCAGGGGGAGTGGGGTGCCAGGAGGTCTGGTTTAGACTCGAAACACTCAGAGGTCCAGGTAGAACTTGAGAACTAGATTGGAGATGGGAACCCATCATTACCTGATGAAGCACATAGGTGTGAGGATTCTGGAGCTGGTGGGGCCTTCCTGGCATTGGGATTATCCAAGCCCCTTGTTCTGGGATGTTCCCTAGAAAGGGGAAGGGGCTCATCTCAGATCATACAATAAGTTAAAAACTGAGGTGTGAGATGCTGCAAAGGAGCAATCTTTCACCCCATCCCCACCCCTGCACCAGTCCCCAGTAGTAAGCAGAACTTAGACCTATGCTCTGGGAACAGAGCCATAAATTGTGCCTCCTCACTGCTGACTGGCTTCCAGATCCGTTTCTAAAGCTCTGCCTGGATTGTGCACAGAGAGAAGCCTCACAGGCCCTTTTCAAATGGCTGCTGCAATGTCCTTTCTCCCCATCTTGCTTCCTGTATGAAAATGGACCCTCTCCTAGGTCAGGGTCCATGTTCACCCTCTTCTTGATGGGAAGATCAGTCTACCTGTTTTAAATATTTGAAGAAACACTTTAAGTAAGTAGTAAAAGGGGGGTGTTTAGGCTCCCCAGGGGATGTCCCAATGCAGGGGGATGGCAGGCAGGACCCAGTGCTGGGAGATGGGCACAAAAAGTGGTGAGTGAAGCAGGCTTAGTCGACCCTCCTGGGATGGTATAATCTTCCCATTTTATACAGGAGGAGAGTAAAGTGCAGAGTTCAGTATACTGCCCCAGATCTCAGAGCAGGGCATTGTAGTGCTGGATTCAAAGCTCCAAGTAAACTTTACTTCCAGGCTGACCTAGGCTTTGAGGACTTAGAAGTGAGGGAGGCAGACAAGGAGACAGATATTTGTAGGACACTGATGGACAATAATTAGGGAACACAACAGATGCACAAAGTGTTTATGGACAGTGGTAGGTGCTAGGGGGACACACAAGGTGATGGCAAAGACAGTGACGAAAGCCTTCTCTATTTTGAAGAGTCAGGGATGGCCTCTCTGCCAGGGAGGCAGCTAAGATGAGACTCAAATGTTACAAAGAGCCAGACATGCAGAACTGGGGTCAGAGTGCTACTCACAGAGGGACAAGCTAGTGCAAAGGCCCAAGGGTGGGAACAGGCTGCGATGTACATTCTCCAGGAAAACAAAGAAGGCCAGTGTGTGTATGGTGCACACAGTGAGCTGAGCAAGTGGTGTGGTGCAGGTGCTGGGAGAGGCCCAGGGAGAATGGGATTGCAGAGTGTGCTAGGGGCCTTGCTGCCTGCCTCCTGCCAGCCCTGCACACCCAGGCCCTGGATCCCAGAGCCCACCAAGGAGGGCTGTGCAGCAAGTTCATGTCTGAAATGAACTTACTAGCCTATCAAGGCTGAGTCATGGCTGCCCAGAGTTAGGGCCCATGTCTGGACTCCCCAGGGCTGTCCAGAGCCAAGTCAGGTCCTCAGAAACCTTTTCTACCTCTGTGGTAGCTGCCCACTGAGCCCTCTACCCTCCACGAGAGCTGGCTGGTTACCTTGCCCAGGCCTGGCTTCCCTAGCCTGTGGCCTCTGATTCTCTCCTGTTCAGAATGCAGCTCAGCACAGAGCTGGGCACAGCCTCCCTGGATGAGCACCTGCTGAATGAGTGGCCATCTTGGACCTCAGCCAAGTTCAAGCTGCCTGCTGCATACCTCTCCAGGGCTGGGCCTTGGGGTGACTTGGAGGACTCAGATGTACTCCCTAATGTCTCCATGAGAGTGCTGGTTGTTCCTGGCGATTCTCACCCTCCGAAACTCACCTCAGTCATTCCCAGTCTGTCTCCTCCAGGGATCATTCAACAAACCAATTCACAGGACTGGGTCAGTGGGGAGGCAGCATGGCCAAGCCGGAAAGCATGGGCTTTGGAGCCACACAGGCTCTAGGTGTGAATCCTGTGTTTGCCATTTCCTGCTTGTATAGCCTTCTGTTAAACACGATACGAATCCTTGGCTTACAGGGTCAGTACAAGATTATAAGCATTGTTTCTGGTACTCAGTAGGGATTCAAAATTGGTAGCTGCTATTTTTATCAACATCATTCAATATATGTTAAGTTTTGCTCAGTTACCACATCATGTGACAATGTCCGGGAAGATTTTCACCAAAGTTGGAGAATGTGTTTTCAATTCTCTGATTTAAATGGTATTTATAAATTTCTCTTTGGCGGGCAGTGGGACACCTCAAAAGATGAACAAGCATTCTCCAGGTGGCATGCTCAGTCACTGACCATGGAACTGCCTGCCACAGGCCCAGCATCTCGGCAAGGAAAAGGGCTGTTGTTTCTCTAAAACCCAGGCTGACTTAATATAAGTTGGTAACAAGTCACTGTTGGGTGCGAGAAATTTAATGATAAAAATTTGAGGGTATAGATTAGTTTCTTTGGGCTGCTGTAACAAACAACCACAAACTGGGTGGCTTAAAACAGTAGAAATGTATTTCCTCACAAGTCAGGAAACAGGAAGTTCAAAACCAAGGTGTTGGTGCCTTCTGGAGGCTCTGAGGGAGAACCTGCCACATGGTCCTCTACCAGCTTCCAGTGCCTGCTGCAGTGCTCGGCACTCCGTGGGCAGTGGCTCCGTAACTCTAGGCCCTGCCTGTCTTCATATAGCCTCCCCTCTGAGTCTCTGTGTGTCAGATCTCCCCGTCCTTCCTAAGGACACTAGCCATTGGATTTAGCACAATTTGCAGGAGTGGAGCTCCCTGGCCACAGTTGCCTGAAAAGGCGGTCTCTCCCTTCTCTGCACTCTGCCCTGAAGCTCTGGAGGGAAGCCCTCCTGAGACATGACATCCAGTCTTTGTTCGGCCTGAGTGCCCCTGTTACACTCCAGAACACCTTCTTTCCTTCCTTCTGGCTGATGTTTTCTCAACAGACCCTGCCCACCAAGAAAGGGCCAGGCAAGTCTGAATAACTAGAAATCCAATCCTGGCCTTATCACCTGCTCTCCAGTGACCTGGGCATAGCACTTAACCTTCCTGAGCCTTGGTTTCGTTGTCTGTAAAGTGGGCAAGTAGCACTTCCCTGGTGGGGCTGTCATGAAGATTGTTCACGGAGGTATTGAGGATACAGCAATGAGCGAGATGATGCTACTATCATGAATAGACAAGCTAGGGCGCAGGGAGGCAGACAGTCACTTTTCTGGGGTCCCAGAACTCACCCAGCTATAAGGCCTGTGCTGCTGACCCAGTGAAAGACTTCTTCCTGTGCCCTTGGCTACATGGTCTTAGGCTGAGGAGGCCTGGCTGGTACCTATGTCTGATGCAGCGTGGCTAGGTTTTCTAGTCAGGGCTTGGCTGCCTCTAGACCAGGAGTCCCCGACTCCCATACCATATCAGTACCAGTCTGTGGCCTGTTAGGAACTGGGCCACACAGCAGGAGGTAAGCAGTGGGCAAGCGAGCATTACTGCCTGAGCTCTGCCTCCTGTCAGATCAGTGGCAGCATTAGATTCTCAGAGGAGCACAAACCCTATTATGAACTGTGCATGTGAGGGATCTAGGTTGCCTGCTCTTTATGAGAATCTAATGCCTGATGATCTGATGGTTTCGTCTTGAAACCATCACCCCACCCTGGTCTGTGGAAAAATTGTCTTCCACAAAACTGGTCCCTGGTGCCAAAAAGGTTGGGGACCACTCCTGTAGACCATTGGGACTGAACTGCAATGGACAGGCTTTGGCGTGGGGGGTGTCTGCCTCCTTCTCATGACCATCCCACTGGGGGTTCTTGTTTTGCTTCAGCATGCTCCCCGCCATTCCAGGCTGCCCCCTCACTACCCAGTCCAGTCTGGGGCATGCATGTTGGCCCAGGACAGTCAGGGCATGGCCTGCTCTGCCAGACCAGGGGCAGGCCAGGCAGCGACTCAACTCGAAGCACTGAGGCTCCAGCCACCTCACCTCCTGACACTGAGCACTCATCCTCTTCTCCTTGGGTTTTCAGCTGTGGGGTGTTGAGAGCTTCCAATGGGAGGGACACCATGAACTGGAGTAGCATGAGATTCATAGCACCCATGACATGAAGCTCATAGTTTTCAGCTAAATATTGCATGAAGGGTCATGATCTTCAAGAGGTATCCACTGCATTCACAGAATCCAGGGCCCCCATTCTCTATAAGGACCAAAGAAAGTGTCAGAGACCTGAGAAAACGGTATATAAGAAGAAAAGTACACAATCAAAATTAATGCTGCACTAAATATTTACAAAATATAACCTCATGTTAAATAGTCAAATGCAACTCAGCTTTCATGGAGGTCTATGTGGATGATATTAATATGGGAGGTACATTAAATATATACAATTATACTTAATTTTATCTTACTTGATACAATAGGAGCAGGTTTGCCAAAGTGAAAGAGTCCAAATCTAAGCAAGTCTTAAAATTGATTCTGCATAACCAGGAGAGATGAGAAAGATAATGGCAAGATCATCCATTCTGTAGGCCCAAAATGAAGGCTCTGGACACCTCAGATTTGGAGATATTTTCCCTAATAACTAAAAGCACTGAAGCTGGGCTAGGGAACAAACTCTCTTCTCTCTTGTCTTTCATAGGTGTTCATTGAGTACGTATTATATACCTAACACTATGTATAGGTCAGAGAACCCAACCCTCAGGGCAGTCACACCTGGTTAAGAGCTTGGACTGGACTTGTTTGGGTCTCAGTAGGCTACAGGTTGGTGGAAATAGCAGCCTCTGGGGTCCTGTGGAGTGAAAGACCTTGGGGATGAACCAAATGAGGGGGCCAGGTTCCTGGGGAAACCATGTGAGTCAGTGTGGTTGACTGAATGATGGTCCCCAGACATGCCTGTGTCCTCATCCGTGGAACCTGTGAATGTCATCTTACACGGCAAAAGAAAACTTTGCAGGTATGATTATGTTAAGGATCTTGAGATGGGAGGATGACCCTGGATTATCGGGGAGGTTCTTAAATGTAATTACAAGTGTCCTTATAAGAGGGAGGTGGAGGGAGATTTAAATTTCTTCCTACAGAAGAGGAAGAAAACAATGTGATAATAGAAGCAGGGAGAGAAGAGGAGCCATGATGCTGGGGCTCTGGGAAAGGGGGTGAACCCCAGAATCTGGGGGAGACAAGAAAACAGATTCTCCTCAAGAGCCTCCCAAGAGAGTGCTGCCCTGCCAGCACCCTGATCTTAGCCCACTGAGACCCATTTCAGATTTCTGGTCTTAGAACTGTAATAGAATGCATTCATGCTGTTTTAAGCCATGATGTTTGGGGTAATTTGTTACAGCAGCAACAGGAAACTAATGTAAGGGGTCAGTTGTGTTCATCTGTAAGATGGGACCAGTATCAGTGCCTTAGAGCATCTGTGGGATTTAATGAGGTCAGTTTTATATTTGGTTGTGTTCATCTGTAAGATGGGAGCAGTATCCATGCCTTACAGCATCTGTGGGATTTAATGAGGTCAGTTTTATATGATAGTCAGTATGCAGCTGGTGCAATTAAATGTCTTCTCCTGCTATCACTGGGGGCCCTAGAGACTTGGGCTTTGCTGCTGGCCTCTGTGCCAGCCTACCCGAGTGCTCAGCATGCCTGACAGACCTTTGTTCCATGGCTTTGAAATTATTCTGTGATCTAGGTTTGGCTCTCAGGTTGAGTTCCTTCATGTATTATTGACTTGAGTGACTCAACCACTCAATTTTCTTAGCAGGAACTTGATTACTTGTTGCAGCGGGTGGGTGGTAGTCAAACATTCTGTGGATTCACTTTCCAGGGACAGCCCTAGGAGAGTGTTGGACCTCCTGACAGCCTTACATGGGGCACAGAAAGAGACCTGCACCCCTCCAACACCTCCTAAGTTACCACCTGGCCCAAGTCATTGTCCTGGTTGTGGACATCCCACTCCAAGATAGGCCTCTGTGGTTCTGCTCAACAAGAAGACCTTGAAGGCCCAGTTCTCATCTTGCTGCATCTTCCAGGGAGTCTCCCCCACCCAATTTAAAATTACCTTTTCCTTCTTATCACCCAGCTCTTCTTATCCTTGGTTTATTTTCCTCCATAGTACTTGTCTTCATCTAAAATATATATTTACTTGGGAATTACTTTTTATTGACCATCTTTTCTGACTCCACCAGATTGTAAGTTCCATGAGGGCAGACTCTGGTTTCTTTACTGCTGAAGATTGGAATAGTGCCTCCAATAAAATAGGCCCCGAACAAATACTGGTTGAGTGAGTTAGTAAACACACTTCTCTGATTATGAAAGTAATACTTATGAACAGGGTGTGTACTATTTCCTGTATTTTCCTATGGCTACATATGTTTATAAAACTATTTAAGTGGGTGCTTCTCAAACTCTTGGCCATGTTATTAGCCATGGTCATAAACTCAGGAGAGGAGCAGGGTGAGAGCAAAGGTGGGTCCAATGAAGCTTTAGCCTTACATGTGACATTAATTGGTTGTTGTTGTTGTTTTTGAGAAAATTTATTTCCACATGAGTTGTATACTTTACATAAGTTTTAAACTACATAAACTAAAAATAATGAAAGTACCATCAGCTGATTGTAGGAGAGTTGGAAAATGCAGAAAAGTCCCATGCAGGAAAACATTGCCTGTGATCTTCAACTCTGAGATCAGCATTTTAACTACATGTACCCTTCCAGGGCCTCCTCCACTTGTCTGCAGAGCTGAGCTCAGGTGGTTTGTGTGAAGAGCTAGCCTGCTTTTCTGGGTCTCAGCCTCTCACTGCAAACTGGGCTGCGTAGTATCTCCTCTTTGGTGGTCTCATGGCACCTTCGTGCACAGGCATGACATGCTGTGCATGCTGACAAAGTGTTTTGATGGAGAATTATAGGCTGCACATCTTAAAATAAGTGGAACCTTCTAAGGCTAGGGCAGGGGTACTCTTGAGTGGACTTACTCAGACCCTCTGTGCCTGTCAGCTGCTGCCCCTGGTCACCAAAGCCAGCCTCCATTAGAGGCCACCACACCTTAGCCATACAGTCCTTTTTCAGTCAGTGCAAAAGGACCGCTGTGCCAGGGCTGTGCCCAGCTCTGGAGATGAAAGGAAAGTAACACAGGTGGTCCTACCCTAGTTGGGTGACCCAACATAAACCCTATGTAATCAAACACATAGGGCCACTCGACATTTCGACTCAGACCTAAAAGATGAGGAGGAGCTGGAGGAAGAGCCTTCCAGACGTGGGGAACAGTAGGGGCAGCTGGATGGAGGCAGGAAAGAATTGCTGCTGCAGGGTCTGGGAACCTGCAGCTCATGCAGGGCCCGGGGAGAGGAGATGGCACATGCGGTGAGAGACAGGTGCCTCCCAGTCTCAGGGAGAGGGCAGAATTTATCCTACATTTGATGGGAGGCCACTGGAGGCTTCATTGACCTTTGAAAATGATCAGTCTGCCTGTTGTATAAAGAGAAATGGAGGAAGTGAGGGAGAAGCAGGAGACCAGGGAGGGCTTCAGGCCATGTTTCTGGTGAGGATGAGGGGTGAGGCCTAGGGTGGTGGTTCTAGGGACAAGAAGAGCAGGTCTCCCCCAAAGATATTTTGGAGGGGGCAACAACAGACAGCAGATAGGGTAGAGTCCCAGTTTAGTTTTTATACTCAAGAGGCGGGGATCATACGATCATTCGGCACAACTAGCTGGCCTTTGCCATTCTTTCAGCAAAGCAGGCTTCTTCGCAATGAGTGAGTCTGAATGGGACATGAGAGGGAGGCAGTGCAAGCCAGAAACAGAGCACCAGCCTGGCCTGGATTGAAACCCAGACCCTTTGCTGGCGGGGTCACTATGAGCAGGGCCTCTCCCTCCGGGCATCTTTGGAGCAGTGGGCTATGAGTGATCTCTGAGCCGATCCATGCCCTTGTCTCTCTCCACAGACTCGCCTGCAGGCCGGTGTCGGCTACGGAAACACCCTCAGCTGCATTCGCATGGTGTACAGGAGGGAGAGCGTAAGTGCCTCTTGGGCAGGTGGAGTGATGCCTGCCTGGGACCCCACGGGCTAGGGACCAGGGCCACAGCCCCACACCGGCTTGAAGGTGGGGACCTCTCATTCTGCTCTTCACACTCAGCTCGATTTTCCCTACTTCATCTCACACCATACCTCAAATATTACGTGTTACCTAAACTCACCCCTGCCACCTACCACAGCATAACTGAAGAAAAACTCCGGTTTTGTGTAACCACTATGGAGAAATCCTGAAGAATCTGGAGCCACAGTGTGGAAAATTCCTGCAAAAACAAAGTGATCACTCAGTTTTTCACAAAGGCACGAGTGACTGGCAAACCGTGTGCTGATAGACCTCCCTTTATCTGGCCCGGCGGCAGTCAGGCACGTCTGAGCCTAGACACCAGAGTTTACCTGTGCCCAGGTTGCTTGAGACCATGTGACCTGAGGTGTTCCTTTTCCAAAGGGAAAACTGAGTGATACTTTGTAGAAGATGCATCAGACTCCCTTCTTGAGAACTGGCATGTGCTCCAGGAAGACTTTCTGAGGCCCCTCTTTCTGGAATTTAGAATAAACTGTAAAATTTTGAATGAAATGACGTGATTTAAAGAAACCATCAGGTGGAACCCTGTCGCAGCCCTCTGACTTTTCTCTGAGTCACTGGAAATGTGGCCCCATTGTAGCCACTGTCTCCACCGGACTCCATCCTAACAAGTGCCCTGGGGCTCGGAAGCCTCCTGCAAGCACCTAGAGTTTTCCCACGGATGAAGTGTGTCTCGCATCAGGGTGTTGTAACTCCCTTGATCAGCGCATTACAACTGGGGCGAGCACTGCAAGCCTAGCACTTGGTGTTCCCGGGTGATGTTGTGGGAGTCCACAGTCCCCTGAAAGTGGCTGTTGATTCTCCTTTTGGCACACGTTCCCGACAGTGTCTGCCAGCCTGTGTCCCAGCTCCGGGGTTTTGGTGGGGACTGCGGGCGGTTTCTCTGAGGCATAGTAATTCATGGCTAAGCCACATCCAAGTTATCTGAAGGATCTTGCGATGGAAGAACAGTATGAAGCAAGGTGTGTTCACATGTGTGTGTGCATACATGTGTGTATATATGCACGTGTGTGTGCATGTGCTGCTGTGTGTGAGACACCCTGCCTCTGGCAGCCAGGGTACAGTGCGTGCAGCAAGGACTAGTGGGTTTGTGCACAGCCTGGAGTCTGCACAATAGCTTCCCAGTACTTCCTCACATTTGATTTGGCACGCGTGTGCTGCCCTGACTCCTCCAAGGGCCTGTGGAATTTTCCGGTTTTCCTTAGCACATCTGTGGTGTTCATCAAGAATGCCGTGTGGAAGGGACGGAACCCCAGCCTGCAGCACCCCCTCCTCAGCCTCCTGCAGCCTGTGTGTGCGCATTCTGCGTCCTTGTATAACCCCTTCAACCACTTCTGTCAGGAGACACCCATGCTCATGGGCACTCATCTACAGGCTGGCCCAGGCACCCCTCGGGGATCTGGGGAACCCCTGTCTTACACCACAGGCTTAGTAGGCTGCCTATGCTGTAACTGCCTGTCAATTTGTTCCGCACCTCACTTTCCCCAGACTATGAGCTCGGTGAGGGCAGAGGCCGTTGCTTTCTTATGGTTGCTCCCCAGGGCCTGGCCCCTGGCCAGTGCCTGGAGAATGTTTTTACTGTGGTGTATGAGGTGGGGGCGTGTGGTGCTTGGCCAGTCCACTGCTCCTAAGGTCTCCTCAGGTTCCCCCGTGGCCACAGCCTGACTTTTTTCCAGCCCAAGATCACTGCCCCTCCCTGCACATGTGGGTTCCAGGCCAGGACACCACCCATAGGAAACAAAGCGGCTTGCAGAAGCCGGACTGTCCTCAGAGCAAGGATGCCTGCCCCTGAGCGGCCCCTGACCCTCTGCCTCCTGTCGCATCAGCACCCTCTTCCCCTCTCTTCGTTGACACCTGGGCAGATGTGTCCAGTGGTGTTCCCTGCCATCCTGCAGGCCCTGCAACGCCAGCCCTGGGTCCTCACGCCTCTTCCTTCTGGGTTTCACTGCAGGTGTTTGGCTTCTTCAAGGGCATGTCCTTCCCCCTTGCCAGCATTGCCGTCTACAACTCCGTGGTGTTTGGGGTCTTCAGTAACACACAGCGGTTCCTCAGCCAGCACCGCTGCGGGGAGCCCGAGGCCAGTCCTCCACGCACGCTGTCGGACCTGCTCCTGGCCAGCATGGTGGCCGGTGTGGTCTCTGTCGGGCTGGGAGGGCCCGTGGACCTCATCAAGATCCGGTTGCAGATGCAGACACAACCATTTCGGGACGGTAAGAGGCCAGGGGAGCACAGGCTGGTGTCTGGGACTTGTGGCCCTTTCTTGGTTTGTGGGATCTGGGATGTGGTTGTTAAAATCCTTTTATTGAGCAAGGCATCTACCTTGTCACCTGGTAGTCCGTAATTACAGGCATACCTCAGAGACAGGGGTTTGGTTCCAGACCACTGCAGTAAAGCAAATATCACAGTAAAAGTCACATGAACGTTTTGGTTCCCCAGTTCATTTAGTGTACTTCATGTAACATGTAATATCTGAGGTGTGGTGTGAGATGAAGTAGGGATGTATGTAACTTTACTGTAGTCTAAGTATGCAATGGCATTATGTTTTAAATATATATATATTTATATATATACACACACACACACACACACACACCTTAATTTAAAAATACTTTAGTACTAAAAATTATTGACAATTATCTGAGTCTTCAGTGAGTTGTAATCTTTCTGCCGGTGGAGGGTCTTGCCTCGAAGTTGATGGCTGCTGACTGATCAGGGTTGTTGTTGCTGAAGGTTGGGGTGGGCTGTGGCAATTTCTTAACGTAAGACAACAATGAAGTTTGTCACATCCATTGACTTCCTTTCACAAAAGTTTTATCTATAGCATGAGATGCTGTTTGATGGCATTTTGCCCACAGTAGAACTTCTTTCAAAATTGGAGTCAGTCCTCTCAAACCCTGCCGCTGCTTTATCAGCTAAGTTTACGGAATATTCTAAATCCTTTGTTGTCATTTCAACAACATTCACATTCACAGAATCTTCACCACTAGTAGACTTCATCTCAAGAAAAACTTTCTTTCTTATCCATAAGAAGTAACTCTTCATCTGTTAAATACTGTCATGAGATTGCACCATTCAGCACCATCTTCAGCCTCTACTTCTCATTCTAGTTCTCTTGCTTTTTCCACCACATCTGCAGTTCCTTCCTCTACGGAAGCCTTGAAGCTTTCAAAATTATCTGTGAGGGTTGGGGTCAACTTCTTCCAAACTCCTGTTAACATTGCTATCTTGACCTCCTCCCATGAACCCCAAATGCTCTTAAGAGCATCTAGAATGATGAATTTTTTCCAGAAGGTTTTTCAGTTTACTTGGTTCAAATACATCAGAAAAATCACTATCTATGGCAGCTATAGCCTTAAGAAATATATTTCTTAAGTAATAAGACTTGGAAGTCAAAATCACTCTTTGATTTAAGGGCTGCAGAATGGATGCTGTGTTAGCAGGCCTGGAAACAACATTCATCTCCTTGTACGTCTCCACCAGAACTCTTAGGTTATCAGATGCATTGTCAATGAGCAGTAATATTTTGAAAGGAATATTCTTTTCTGAGTAGTAGGTCTCAGCAGCAGGCCTAAAATACTCAGGAAACCATGCCGTAAACAGATGTGCTGTCATCCAGGCCTTGTTGTTCCTTTTCTAGAACATGCAGAGCAGATTGATTATCATTCTTAAAGGCCCTAGGATTTTCAGAATGGTAAGTGAGCACTGGGTTCAACTTAAAGTCTCTAGTTGCATTAGTCCCTAATAAGAGAGTCAGCCTGTCCTTTGAAACTTTGAAGCCAGGTATTGACATCTCCTTTCTAGCTCTGAAAGTCCTGAAGTCATCTTTTTCCAATAGAAGGCTGTTTTGTCTACATTGAAAATGTGTTGCTGAGTATAGTCACATTCATCAATTCTCTTAGCTAGATCTTCTGAATAACTTGCTGTAGCCTCTACATCAGCACTTGTTGCTTCACCTTGCACTTTTATGTTATGGAGATGGCTTCTCTCCTTAAACCTCATGAACCAACCACTGCCAGCTTCAAACTTTTCTTCTGCAGCTTCCTCACCTCTCTCCACCCTCAGGGAATTGAGGAGAGTTAAGCCCTTGCTCTGGATTAGGCTTTCGCTTAAGGGAAAGTTGTGACTGATTTGATGTTCTATCCAGACTACTCAAACTTTCTTCATACCAGCAATAAGGATATTTTACTGTCTTATTATTTGTGTGTTCATTGGAGTAGTGCTTTTAATTTTCTTCCAGCATTTTTCCTTTGCATTCACAACCTGGTTAACTCTTGGGCAAAAGAGGCTTAGCTCTTTTGACCTGTCTCAGCTTTCAACATGCCTTCCTCACTAAGTTTAATCATCTCTAGGTTTTGATTTAACGTGAGACACTATGAGTCTTCCTTTCACTTGAACACTTAGAGGCCATTGTAGGATTACAAATTGGCCTAATTTCAATATTGTTGTGTCTCAGGGAACAGGGCGGCCTGAGGAGAAGGAGAGAGAAAGGGAATGGCTGGCTTGTCGGTGGAGCAGTCAGAATAGCCATGATTAAGCTAACTCCCTTATATGGACGCAGCTTGTTGTGCCCCAAAACAAGGATGTTAGTGACATCAAATATCACAGATAATCATAACAGATATAATGATTACAACAAGGTTGAAAATATTGTGAGAATTATGAAAATGTGACACGGAGATATCAAGTGAGTACATGCTGTTAGAGAAATGGTGCCGATAGCCTTGCTGGACTCAAGCTGGAAAATGAAATATCTGTAAAGTGAAATGAAGTGAAGCACAATAAAACAAGGTGTGGTTTTAATACTGTTTAATCTGAAGCAGTAACTGTCATTAAGTATTTGGTATGTGCCAGGTACTCGCTAGGACCTTTGCATGTGTTCTCATAATTCACCTTGTAACAATTCTGTCAGGCAGGTGCTGCTATCTCCATTTTACAGATGAGAAAACAGGCTCCCAGAGGTTAAAACAGTTACTCAAGAACACACGATTAGCCACTGGTGAGTGAGAGCCACCAGTGAGAGTGAGGCATGGGAGGTTACTACAGGCAAATATTGCAGTACCCAGTGCAAAATGCTAAGGCCCCTTGTTCAAAAATTATGCCATATTTTACAATGGCAACAGCAAAGCATTAAGCCAAGTGTGGTGCTTGGATGAACACACTGGTCTCATCCCCACAAAGGTAGCCCCAGCTGAGTTGGGACTCCTACACATGTATGTCTCATCCAAAAGCTCAGAGTCCCGACCTCACCTGGCCCGGATGCCAGGAAGTGCAGCAGGCAAGGCCTTGCTCCTGACCACCCGTCTCCTGCCCTTACCTGCCCTTGCTGTCCTTCAGCCCTTGCCTTTCCTGTTAGAGTTTCACTTCTTGTTGTGCGATGTAGCCATTTCTGCACCACAAACTTTATCTCTCGTTCCTCCTCACTGGGAAAGAGTTTTCTGCATCTTTCCTGGCAGTGGCTTTCCCAAAGGAGGGTAGAAAGAACAGGAAGGCACTTGCTGTGCGGAGCAGAGAGGGTGCCGGCTCTGGAGGAAGGATAGGCTTGCAGTGGTAGGAGACATATTGCAGTACCTTGAGGTACTTTGATTCTCAGCTCTACCACTCAGTTCCCTGTCTCCTCAGGTTAGAGACTGCCCTTTCTGAGCCTCATGCTCCTTTTCTGTGTAATGGAAAGGCTGGGCCCATAGTCCTTTCCTGTGTAATGGAAGAACTGGACCCAGAGTCCTTTCCTGTCACCTCAGACATCTGATGGGGCTGACAGTCTCCAGCTTGATCTTGGCCCTTGTGGAGAAGACTCCTTTTCCTGGCAACCTTCTAATAGTCCCTGTGTGACCTCTCTGCCCAGGGAGGCTGGGTTTCAGCATGTATCACAGCCAGAGCCCCAGCAGCTCACTCAGGAGCATCCCAGCCTAGCATCCCCTGCCCCAGCCCCAGAGCTGCCCAGGACAGGGTCTGCACATTCTCTAAGCATGGTGCTGCTGCTCCTTGCTGGGGCGCATGGAGGGCCTGAGGCCTGGCTGCTCCAAGGCTGTGTGTCACATGCCCCCAAGGCCCATGGCCACTACAGCATGTGGGGAGATGCAGGAAAACAAATGGGGCCATCAGGGAGACGTAGGACCGGCAGATCTTCACCTTCATCTTCAGCATATTGAGTCATGTCTCGGAACAATTCAATTTGACCCAAGGGTGGCACCTCTGAGGAATGTTTGACCTTTGCTGATGTGTCCCATCCCAGACGCATAAGCAAAGATGTAGAGGAATGAAGGCTGTCATGAGCAGGCTGAGAACCCAGGCATCTAGGCCCCGTGCTGGCTGTTTGCTCTATCCTAACTGCCTCAGAAAAGCTTACCTTAGGGGAAAGGAAATCTCCATACATCCTAAAACTGTTTGGGGTTCAGGTGTTGGAAAATGCTCAGCAATGAGGCTCTTTGACTGCTGGGAGCAGCCCTGCCTCCTTTACCACCTGGCACCTTGTCCCTGGAAGGGGAGGAAATGGGGGTAGGTTTGCGAGTGTCTGTTTGCAATATCTGTTGTGGGCCCTCAGCCAGCTTGGACACCAAGAGAGGTGTTTCCCAAGAAATACTTTCCTTAAGAAAGTCTGGGGCATTTGAAGGTTTCTTGACAACATCTTGTTCTATCCTCTGTCCTGCCCACTTCCACCCCAGCTTTCCCTGTACAGTGTGCTAGAATGGTGTCATACCAGGCCCTGAGTGATAGGGGATCCTGAGGCCAGGCTAGAAGCATTGGGAGACTAGAGGAAGAATGGGAGGCAGTCAAGGGAGTGGCTGAACCCAAGCATGGCCTCCAAACAGGGTGCACAGCTCCTGGCCAGTGTTTGGGAGCTGAGCAGCCACCATTAGCAGCTGCCAATGTGACATGCTCACTGTGTGCCAGACACCACATAAGGTACTGTCCACCCATCACCTTTTTTAATACCCACCATGACGGCATGAGGCAGATATGATTGCCATCTCTGTTCACTTATCTGCAAGACAATAGTTATGCACCTACTGGGTGCCAGGTGCAGGGCTATGTGCTGAGGATGCACTGGTAAACAAAAGACTGCGTCCTGTCTCTGTTACAGTGCCGCATCCAGCTGAGAACCAGAGAGGAACTGGGTCCCTACAAACCGTGATGGTAGGGAAATAGAATGGGCTCTCAGGCTGGGGTCAAGGAGGGCTTGGGGGCAGGGTGGGAGAAGGGCTGAGAGGAG